TTTTATATTTTTTATTTTTATTCTATTTACATATCAGATTATCAAAATTTAAAATTTTTTTATTTTTATAAAAAAATTATTATTAAATTATTTAAATAAATAGTTGCGTACACATACGGTATATGCGCTCAAAATTAAAAAAAGGAAAAAAAGTTAAATGCAGATTGGTTGTTTTCATGTGAAGTAATTGAAACTTATGATGCACGTTAAAATTAAATGCAGCCAGCTTGCACATATGGTTTCAAATTTTTATCTTCTTAACGACTACTATGTTGAAAATATGAACTTTGGTAGAGAGTCAAAATAAGCTTGCAAAATGCTGTAAATAAATTTTAATTACTACCATCTTGACCTTGTTTGAGTTGATATTTATTATTTAAAAATTCTTAATTTAAGGTAAATTTAAAGACTTAAAGTTTTATAATATTAGGTAGTTATTGATAAAAATTTAGTTGAATTAATATTTATTAACTTAAAAATGTTAATTTAGAATTAAAATTAACAATTCAAATCTTTATAATATCAAATAAATAACTCTTTACCCCTCTAATATACCAAAAAATAAATTCCAAAAAATAAATTCAAGTAGTAAACTTATGATATTACTGAATTCTTTTAGATCTAGACCATATCATATAGATAAAAAATATAAAAAAAAATTAAACAATTACTCCATCACCATCCTTGCCTTCATATTACCAACCACTGAAATTTATAATTAATGCAATATATATTCTAATACCTTTCAAATTCTTTGGCTTGGACCGTGAGAAAACATGTAAACATACACTGGTCCAGTTATATTGGAGCTCTATATAAATAAAGAATCAAGATCGATCTTCGGAAACATATCGAATTTAACATCGGACAGAAATCCGGCTTTGCTCTTCCTCAATCATTTTTTCCTCTTGTTTTCATTCTTCACATTTGTTTTTTAAGCCATGGCTCCCAAAAATTTCTCCTCATTTATACACTCGATATGGATACTTTTGTTTGTTTTCGGGGTTGCTTCTGCTCAGTTGACGCCGGACTTCTATGATAAAACATGCCCCGGTGCATTTGCTGCCATTGATAAGGTGGTTAGAGCTGCCATAGCTAATGAGTCTCGGATGGGAGCATCCTTACTTCGTCTTCAATTCCACGATTGCTTTGTTAATGTAAGTCATCTCTTTCTTTATCTTAATTTTCTGGTTTAGAAAAGATAATTTCTCATACTTATTTGCCAGTTCAAATTGTAAAAAAAATAAAATAAAAGTCATTAAATGAGAGATATCTCTCAATATTAAAAATACACCCTATGTAATATAAATATTATATAATATAAACTATACGTATACATTACATTTAATTTAAGAATCAACATTTGTTCTGTAACATATATGTACTAGGGATGCGATGGATCTGTACTGTTGGATGACACGCCAACAATGAAAGGAGAAAAAACGGCTGCTGCAAATAACAATTCTCTCAGGGGATTTGATGTAATTGATAGAATTAAAGCTGAAGTTGAGAGTTTGTGCCCAGGTGTTGTTTCATGTGCTGACATTGTCATCATT